TTGATCATCAGTTAATTGTAGGTGACAATCAGCTGTACTGTAGTTGACAATTAGCAACACTGTAGTTGACTATTAGTTATACTGTAGTTGACCATCGGTTATATTGTAGTTGACCATCAGTGATATTGTAGTTGATCATAAGTTATATTGTAGCTGATCATCAGTTATATTATAGTTGACCCTAAGTTATATTGTAGTTGACCCTAAGTTATATTGTAGTTGACCCGTAGCTATATTGTAGTTGACCCTCAGTTATATTGTAGTTGACCCTCAGTTATATTGTAGTTGACCCTTAGCTATATTGTAGTTGACCCTTAGTCATATTTTAGTTGATCCCAGCTATATTGTAGTTGACCATCGGTTGTATTTTGTTTGACCATCAGTGATATTGTAGTTGACCATTAGCAATATTATAGATGACCATCAGTTATTTTCTAGTTGACCATCAGCTATGTTGTAGTTGACCATCAGCTATATTGTAGTTGACCATCAGTGATATTGTAGTTGACCATCAGTGATATTGTAGTTGATCATCAGCTGTATTGTGTAGTTGACAATTAGCAATATTATAGATGACCATCAGTTATATTGTAGTTGACCATCAGCTATGTTGTAGTTGACCATCAGTTATATTGTAGTTGACTATCAGTTATATTGTAGTTGACCCTCAGTTATATTGTAGCTGACCATCAGTTATATTGTAGTTGACCATCAGTTATATTGTATTTGACCCTCAGTTATATTGTAGTTGACCATCAGTTATATTCTAGTTGACCATCAGTTATATTGTAGTTGACCATCAGTTATATTGTAGTTGACCATCAGTTATATTGCAGTTGACCCTCAGTTATATTGTAGTTGACCATCAGTTTTATTGTAGTTGACCCTCAGTTATATTGTAGTTGACCATCAGTTATATTGTAGTTGACCATCAGTTATATTGTAGTTGACCATCAGTTATATTGTAGTTGACCCTTAGTTGTGTTGCTCCCTTTCTTTCAACAGGTTAAGGACAACAACACTAACAAACCGGGGAAGGGGATCTCTGGTAGTTGTCTAAGGAAAGTTACAAGTTTTCAGGGAGGAGAGGGGGGGGGGGGAAAGAAAAGTGTTTTTTTCAAGGGTGCAATAATAATAATATAGTGAAAAGCTTTTTCTTTTTCTTCATTTCTTCCACAGTTATCTCAAGGAAGTAGTTTGGGAGAGAAAGTAGATATTTTTTTTAAAGAAGCTTGACTGTAAAAACCTCCTTGTTCTCTGTATAATCTGTTATATAAGTTGATCTTCATTTCTTTAAGGTTGTTCTTGATGCTGTCATTCCATATTTTGTGTGATCTTCTCTTTGCTCTGAGTTTAAAAAATTTCCAGATTTCCAAAGCTTTTTATCTGTCGCTCTTTAAGAAATAGCAACAACAACAAAAAAAAAAAGAAATAATAATATATCCGCAATAAATAATCACTTCTTTAAAAAGTTACATTCTAAACATCGTTGGGGCCTCATAGCCTCACTTACACATTTTCTATAATGGAAGAGGCGAGTGAGGGGGTGAAAGAGCGGATACCCTCCTTCCGATATTCCTGGGTAGGGAAGGGTGTGCCAGGGTTTGTGTGTGAGAATGAAATATCGCTAGGAATAGACTTGAACCCACACCCCAGTCTGTGAAAGGCTGACGCTTGACAGCTGACAGAAATAACTGACAACTAGGGTATTTGAGGAAGCAGCACTGCACATTCCAAGGACAGACCTTGACATGAAAGCCACTATAGGACCTGTGCCACACGTCACGTCCTGTCCCCGCAACCTTGACCCCGGTATGGGCATGGCGTGCAGCTAGTGACACGAATATTAGACATAAGACTAGAATCACTGGCCACAAAGTTCCTTTGTGTTCCTACGTTTATCCTAGTCATTTGACTGCTGACACCTCACTACTGTCTGTTCTTCTGGTGACTGCAGTCATATGAATATCTGACCTATCTTAAACAAGAGTTTATGTGGAGAAATGAGGACTTGCCACCATTTCAACTCCCCACCCGTCGGGGATGTCGACAGCTCCAAGCCTTAAACCGGGTAAACAGAAAAGTCCGGGGGTGGCGACTACGGCAGTGGAACAAAACAATCACACATAAAATCAGTGTTTTGTCCCAATACTAATCTCCGGGTTGAATAGTTTGTTAGTTGCATATATTCAGATCTGAGGGTCACTGATAAAAGTTGCATATATTCTAGAGTAGAAATGGATAGGTGCAGACAAGACAGATCTCAGGGTCACTGATAAATGTTTCATATATTCTAGAGTAGAAATGGATAGGTGCAGACAAGACAGATCTCAGGGTCACTGATAAAAGTACATGATATTAACAAAACCCTGTACCTGATATCTGAGAACTTAGCCTTGCCGGGAGCAATGTGAGTAAATCCGAGCACAAATGGCCACGTGGTAAAAACCCATGTGATATGTGAGCACAAATGGCCACGAGGTAAAGCCTATGTGATATGTGAGCACAAATGGCCACGTGGTAAAGCCTATGTGATATGTGAGCACAAATGGCCACGTGGTAAAGCCTATGTGATATGTGAGCACAAATGGCCACGTGGTAAAAACCCATGTGATATGTGAGCACACATGGCCACGTGGTAAAAACCCATGTGATATGTGAGCACAAATGCCACGAGGTGAAGCCCATGTGATATGTCAGCACAAATACCACGAGGTGAAGTCCATGTGATATGTCAGCACAAATGCCACGAGGTGAAGCCCATGTGATATGTCAGCACAAATGCCACGAGGTGAAGCCCATGTGGTATGTGAGCACAAATGGCCACGAGGTAAAGACCTTGTGGTATGTGAGCACAAATGGCCACGAGGTAAAGACCTTGTGGTATGTGAGCACAAATGGTCACTTGGTGAAGCCTATGTGGTATGTGAGCACAAATGGCCACGAGGTAAAGACCTTGTGGTATGTGAGAACAAATGGTCACTTGGTAAAGACCTTGTGGTATGTGAGCACAAATGGTCACGTTTTAAAGCCCTTGTGGTATGTGATCACAAATGGTCACATGGTAAAGACCTTGTGGTATGTGAGCACACATGGTCACGTGGTAAAGCCCTTGTGGTATGTGAGCACAAATGGCCACGTGGTAAAGACCTTGTGGTATGTGAGCACAAATGGCCACGTGGTGAAGACCTTGTGGTATGTGAGCACAAATGGTCACGTGGTGAAGACCTTGTGGTATGTGAGCACAAATGGTCACGTGGTAAAGTCTATGTGGTATGTGAGCACAAATGGTCACGTGGTGAAGACCTTGTGGTATGTGAGCACAAATGGTCACGTGGTAAAGCCTATGTGGCATGTGATGCTCACCACATATAATTATAGACCATTTGTTGCTCGATCAATCATATGATCAGGAACATAGCTGCCAGATTAGTTCTATAGAGAACAGTATTTGATTGTCATTTAGGCTTGGCTGTTTGTCAGAACAAGCACACACACAATTAGGATCTGACAATACAACCATTTTTTTTTGACTGACTTACACGTGCAAAAAAGGGGGGGGGGGGGAGTCGTCGTTTAAAAAGAAAGTTAACAAGCTGATCACAGTAAAACATTTCGAAAGTGAACTGACATAGAGCAAATTTGACAAGATGATCACAGTAAAACATTTCGAAAGTGAACTGACAAAGAACGAATTTGACAAGATGATCACAGTAAAACATTTCGAAAGTGAACTGACAAAGAACGAATTTGACAAGATGATCGCTGTGAAATACCTAACAAAATGATCAAAACTGACAGAGATTAAAAGGTGTCCACTCACTGGAGAAAAAAAGTAAACAAAGTGATTCTTGTGAAAAAGTTGACAAGGTGATTGACATTGAAAGAAATTAACAAGTTGACCCTTAGTGGAACAGTTAACTGAAGTAAAAAAGTTGACAAGTTGACCCATAGTGAAAGTTTGCATGTTATTAACGTGAAAAGGTTGATAGGTGACCCATTGTAAAACATTTTACGTGTTACTGACGTGAAAAAGCTGACAAGTTGACCCATAGTGGAACAGTTTACGTGTTACTGACATGGAAAAGCTGACAAGTTGACCCATAGTGGAACAGTTTAGGTGTTACTGACGTGGAAAAGCTGACAAGTTGACCCATAGTGAAACAATTTTCGTGTTACTAACGTGGAAAAGCTGACAAGTTGACCCATAGTGAAACAATTTTCGTGTTACTAACGTGGAAAAGCTGACAAGTTGACCCATAGTGAAACAATTTTCGTGTTACTAACGTGGAAAAGCTGACAAGTTGACCCATAGTGAAACAATTTTCGTGTTACTAACGTGGAAAAGCTGACAGGTTGACCCATAGTGTACCCAGAGGGTCTGGCCGGCTCCGTGCCGCCAGAGGAGAGGCAAGACGGACATTTAACCACATTACAACCGGTATTATTAGTATTGTATCTCTGCTCAGGCTGCTGAAGTTGAGGACGTAGTTTCACATAACACCGGCTGCCATTATGGTGCCCAATTAAAGTGTTCCATAAGGACATAAACCCACGACGTTTGGATCGCATGACAGCGTCTAGCCTCAGTACCACGGCGGCTTCTTCGAATGCCTAATGCCATTCTATATATGTTCTGTGTCAGCAGTCACATGTGCCAGGAGCCGTTACCTAATTGTTCTGTGTCAAAAGTCACTTGTGTCAGGAGCCGTTACCTAATTGTTCTGTGTCAAAAGTCACTTGTGCCAGGAGCCGTTACCTAATTGTTCTGTGTCAAAAGTCAATTGTGCCAGGAGCCGTTACCTAATTGTTCTGTGTCAAAAGTCACTTGTGCCAGGAGCCGTTACCTAATTGTTCTGTGTCAAAAGTCACATGTGCCAGGAGCCGTTACCTAATTGTTCTGTGTCAGCAGTCACATGTGCCAGGAGCCGTTACCTAATTGTTCCGTGTCAGCAGTCACTTGTGCCAGGAGCCGTTACCTAATTGATCTGTGTCAAAAGTCACATGTACCAGGAGCCGTTACCTAATTGTTCTGTTTTCTCTTGCAGGCCTCTTCGACCCTATAATCTACGTGGCCTCCAACAAACAAATGCGGACGGCCTTGTACGAGATGATTCCTTGTGAGGGACTCAAGAAAAGCCTCTTGAAGGAGCGAGAGGAACCGGTGGAGGAACAAGAATCGGAGGAGTCCGACGTGGAGGAAGGAACTTCCAAGCAGAAAAACAAAAGGTCTGGACAAAGTCAGAAGAGAACAGACTCGGGGAAACAGAAGAAGTCTGGAGCCAGAAAGAACCAGGTACAGCCGGTGGAGAAGGCGGCCAAGGAATGTATGGACGTCGAGGGCGAGGACACTTGTCTCAGTCCTGTGGTCATCTCACAGTCGGGCGATGAAGCTCAAGTGTGCTTCTCTAAATCTAGAGGCCAATCATCGCCTTGACACGATACATCTAGTTAGTTGAGATCTTGTGTGGTGTGCCGCCCAGGTGTTCATTGTGTGTGTGGTGTGCCGCCCAGGTGCTCATTGTGTGTGTGGTGTGCCGCCCAGGTCTTCATTGTGTGTGTGGTGTGCCGCCCAGGTGTTCATTGTGTGTGTGGTGTACCGCCCAGGTGTTCATTGTATGTGTGGTGTGCCGCCCAGGTGTTCATTGTGTGTGTGGTGTGCCGCCCAGGTGTTCATTGTATGTGTGGTGTGCCGCCCAGGTGTTCATTGTATTGTGGTGTGCCGCCTAGGTGTTCATTGTATTGTGGTGTGCCGCCTAGGTGTTCATTGTGTGTGTGGTTTGCCGCCCAGGTGTTCATTGTATGTGTGGTGTGCCGCCCAGGTGTTCATTGTATGTGTGGTGTGCCGCCCAGGTGTTCATTGTATTGTGGTGTGCCGCCTAGGTGTTCATTGTGTGTGTGGTTTGCCGCCCAGGTGTTCATTGTATGTGGTGTGCCGCCCAGGTGTTCATTGTATGTGTGGTGGTAACGAAACATCCACTGTATGTGTGGTGGCAATGAAACATACACTGTGTGTGTGGTGGCAATGAAACATACACTGTGTGTGTGGAGGCGACATTCAGGTATTCACTGTATGTGTGGAGTCGACAACCAGGCATTCACTGTATGTGTAGTGGCAACGAAACATCCACTGTATGTGTGGTGGCAATGAAACATACACTGTATGTGTGGTGACAATGAAACATACACTGTATAACTGAATATGTGGAGGCGACAACCAGGTCTTTACTATATGTGTGTGGTGGCAACTAGATATTCACTGTATGTGTGGTGCCGCCAATGTATTCACTGTATGTGTGGCGGCGACAACCAGGTATGTATGTGTATGTGTGGTGGCAATAAAATATACACTTTATGTGTGGTGGCAATGAAACATACACTGTATGTGTGGTGGCAATGAAACATACACTGTATGTATGGTGGTAAGGAAACATACACTGTGTATGTGGAGACGACATCCAGATATTCACTGTATGTGTGGAGACGACAACCAGGTATTCGTATGTGTGGAGGTGACATCCAGGTATTCACTGTATGGGTGGAGGTGACATCCAGGTATTCACTGTGTGTGTGGAGGTGACATCCAGGTATTCACTGTATGTGTGCAGGCGACAACCAGGTATTCACTGTATGTGTGGAGGCAACAACCAGGTATTCACTGTATGCGTGGAGAAGATATCCAGATATTTACTGTATGCGTGGTGGCAATGAAACATCCACTGTATGTGTGGAGGGAATGAAACATCCACTGTATTTGTAGAGGGAATGAAACATCCACTGTATGTGTGGAGGGAATGAAATATCCACTGTATGTGTGGAGTGAATGAAACATTCACTGTATGTGTGGAGGGAATGAAACATCCACTGTATGTGTGGAGAGAATGTAACATCCACTGTATGTGTGGAGGGAATGAAACCTCCACTGTATGTGTGGAGACGACAACCCGGTATTCACTGTATGTGTGGAGGCGACAACCAGGTATTCACTGTATGTGTGGAGGTGACAGCTAGGTATTCACTGTATGTGTGAAGGTGACAACCAGGTATTCACTGCATGTGTGGAGGCGACAACTAGATATTTACTGTATGCGTGGTGGCAATGAAACATACACTGTGTGGGTGGTGGCAATGAAACAACAACTGTATAACTGTATATGTGGAGGCGACAACCAGGTCTTTACTATATGTGCGTGGTGGCAACTAGGTATTCACTGTATGTGTGGTGCCTCCAAGGTATTCACTTTATGTGTGGTGGCGAAAACTAGGTATTTATTATATGTGTGGAAGTGACAACCAGATATTCACTGTATACGTGTGGTGTTGACAACAGGTATTCACTGTATACGTGTGGTGTTGACAACAGGTATTCACTGTATACGTGTGGTGTTGACAACAGGTATTCACTGTATACGTGTGGTGTTGACAACAGATATTCACTGTATACGTGTGGTGTTGACAACAGATATTCACTGTATACGTGTGGTGTTGACAACAGGTATTCACTGTATACGTGTGGTGTTGACAACAGATATTCACTGTATACGTGTGGTGTTGACAACAGGTATTCACTGTATACGTGTGGTGTTGACAACAGATATTCACTGTATACGTGTGGTGTTGACAACAGGTATTCACTGTATACGTGTGGTGTTGACAACAGGTATTCACTGTATACGTGTGGTGTTGACAACAGATATTCACTGTATACGTGTGGTGTTGACAACAGGTATTCACTGTATGCGTGTGGTGTTGACAACAGGTATTCACTGTATACGTGTGGTGTTGACAACAGATATTCACTGTATACGTGTGGTGTTGACAACAGGTATTCACTGTATACGTGTGGTGTTGACAACAGGTATTCACTGTATACGTGTGGTGTTGACAACAGGTATTCACTGTATACGTGTGGTGTTGACAACAGGTATTCACTGTATACGTGTGGTGTTGACAACAGGTATTCACTGTATGTACGAGGTTTTCATTACATATTGTGGTGGGAGGAGCCAGGTATTTATTGTTTGTGCGGTGGTAAGAGCCAGGTATTCATTGTATGTGTGGCTGTAGAAACCAGATATTCAGTGTATGTGTGGTTGTAGGGATCAGGTATTCATTGTATGTGTGGTTGTAGGAACCAGGTATATAGTGTATGTGTGGTTGTAGGGATCAGGTATTCATTGTATGTGTGGTTGTAGGAACCAGGTATTCATCGTATGTGCGGTTGTAGGAACTAGGTATTCATTGTATGTGCGGTTGTAGGAACTAGGTATTCATTGTATGTGCGCTTGTAAGAACTAGGTATTCATTGTATGTGTGGTTGTAGGAACCAGGTATTCATTGTATGTGTGCTGGTAGCAAGAACCAGGTATTCACTGTATGTGTGGTGGTAGGAAGAACTAGGTATATATCGTTTGTATTCTGGTAATAGCCAGGTGTTCACTGTATGTGTGGTGGTAGGAAGAACTATGTATATATTGTTTGTATTGTGGAAAGAGCCAGGTATTAATTGAATTGTGGTGGTGTCAACCAGGTGTAATGTTTCTCTTACTGAAGTAAGAATCTGGTCGTTGTCGAGCGGTCACAGAGCAGAGGAGACAGATTCTATCCAATCAGCACCCGCAACAGATCATCATAACATTCGACACAAATTATTAACAGTTTCAGTTTTATAAGTCACAATATATATGCTACTTCTATTTCGTATCACTACACCAGGTACTCACCGCATGTGTCGTGGCAGCCAGGTACTCACCGCATGTGACGTGGCGGCCAGGTACTCACCGCATGTGACGTGGCAGCCAGGTATCACCGCATGTGTCGTAGCGGCCAGGTACTCACCGCATGTGACGTGGCAGCCAGGTATCACCGCATGTGTCGTAGCGGCCAGGTACTCACCGCATGTGACGTGGCGGCCAGGTACTCACCGCATGTGTCGTGGCGGCCAGGTACTCACCGCATGTGTCGTAGCGGCCAGGTATTCACTGAATGTGTCGTGGCGGCCAGGTGTTCCATGCATGTGTCGTAGCGGCCAGGTACTCACTGCATGTGTCGTAGCGGCCAGGTACTCACCGCATGTGTCGTGGCGGCCGGGTATTCACCTCATGTGTCGTGGCAGCAAGGTATTCACTGCATGTGTGGTGACGGTCAGGTATTCACCGCATGTGTCGTGGTGGCCAGGTATTCACTGCATGTGTCGTGGCGGCCAGGTATTCACTGCATGTGTCGTGGTGGCCAGGTATTCACTGCATGTGTCGTGGCGGCCAGGTATTCACTGCATGTGTCGTGGTGGCCAGGTATTCACTGCATGTGTCGTGGCGGCCAGGTATTCACTGCATGTGTCGTCGCGGCCAGGTTTTTACTGTATATGTCATGGCGGCCAGGTATTCAGTGCATGTGGCGGCCAAGTATTTACTGAATGTGTTGTGGCAGCAACCTGGTATTAAATGTATGTGTGGTGATGCCGCCCATCTATTTGCTTTAACCTTGTGCCTGCACCAGCGCGCGCGCGCGCGTGTGTGTGTGTGTGAGAGAGAGAGACACACACAGAGAGAGAGAGAGAGAGAGTGTGAGAGAGAGAGAGAGTGAAAGAGATCCAGGTATGCACTGCAAATGAATGTTTAATTGAGAAATGCCTATCTGTACACATATTATTGTTTTATTTCACCTACCAATGCTTTGTTGCCAGAGAAATTTGTTTCAGTCGCACTCTGCCCATAACCATCACGCTTTCCCCTCCCCCATCTCTCTCTCTCTCTCTCTCTCTCTCTCTCTCTCTCTCTCTCTCTCTCTCTCTCTCTCTCTCCACAATGCATTACTAGTTATAATTAATTGCAGTACGAATGATATGTTTGTATGCGTATATGTGTGACATGCTGGCGTGTGTAGGCGTATGTGTGTATGTATGATTCTGTGTATGCATGGGTAACTGTATACGTTTGTGTGTATGTATCTGTGTGTATCTGTGTGTAGGCGTGTGTCTGTGAGTGTGTCTGTTTGTCTGTATGTTGTCTGGGTGCGTGTCTGTGTGTGTCTGTCTGCGTGTCAGTGTGCGTGTCAGTCTGTGTTGTGTGTCTGTGTGTGTTTTTTTTATGTCTATCTGTATGTGTGGCTGTGTGTGTGTCTGTGTGTGTGATTGTATGTGGATATGTGTGGCTTGGCTGCATGTTTGTCTGTGTGTGTGTGTCTGTCTGTTTGTGTGTATTTATGCTGTGTCTGTAGGTGTTTCTGCGTGTGTCTGTGTGTCTATGCCTGCGTGTGCCTGTGGCTGTGTGTTTCTCTGTGTGTTGTTTCGTGTGTATTTGTATGTTCAAATTTTTGATAATGTGTGTGTGTGTGCGAGTATTTGTGCGTCTGTGGGTGTGTTAGTATGTGTTTGTGTCTGTCTCTGTGTGTCAGTGTGTGTGTGTGTGTGTGTGCCATTATGTGTCTGTAGGTGTG